GCTTGATTGTGATGACCAATGCACTGATTATGCTCACGTTTTCCAGCTTTGTGGAAAGTCTTTGCATTCTTTATAGATTCTCCAATGTAGGGAGACATCAGAGAATGCCAAAATTTTAAATTATGGGATTTGAAAACTACAATATGAAAAGATTCTTCAAACCCGATATCACATTAAAATGATGATAAATGTAAATAAGATTGTAAAACTAAGACAACAAACACTTGAAGATATGCTACATGCCACATTAAAAGAACTGAAAACAACAAAACATGGAAGTTAAAAAGGACTGGTTGGGAACTTCTTAGTGACAACACATTTGTACAAATAATTAAGTTTACCAAACTTCTAGTCTTGCTACATGATGCAACTTTAAACTTAAATATAATGCCTCAAAAATAATGCAATCATAATAAATTTCTCACATGTGCTTTGACAAATGCGCTAAATCCTTATGATTTAAGTGAGAGAATGCTTCTCATTATTAAAAATAAGGTAATTTTATTGTATCCTACTCTTAGAATCATATAACCTTTTGAAAATTGAATAACCATTTTGTAAAATTGACAAAGTCTTGTAAGTATAAATTCAAGTTTTTAACCTTCTACATTACTTTTGAATGGGCCTTTCTACTTAAGGGTAGGTTTTTCAGTTCTACATTTCATGTCCAATTCTCAACTTCCCAAAGATTGGAGTTGATAATACTAGACTCTTGTGAGGTACATTCAAGCAATAAATTAAAAAAAAATAATTATAGAATAATTTTAAGCCCTGCTCTTGATGCAATCAAGTAAACTCTCAATCAAATACTTGATCACAAATCATGTAAAAGATGTTTTGTTTTGCATTTGCACAAATCTTTCAATGCCTTTAGTAAATAAAACTCTTTTTTAAAATGCAAAAGCTTGGGAAAATATCACATAGATGATGGTATGTAGGCTTAATCTTTTGACATTAAATAATATTTAAATAAACTCAAATAATGCAAATTATGGACCGGTTCCATTGTAAACAAACATTTAGAGTTGACATGATCCAAAGTCACAAAAATTAGATCATTCAAGTATTTTTTAGATGATAGCGTGATTAAATTGAATCTCAACTAGATATAATCTTATTTTCAAAATTCCCCTTAAATCTTTATGCGAATTATTTCAAGTTCTAATCAAAATAAAAGTACCCAAATTTTAAGTATAAAATATAAATTTCTAATGAAACTTGCTACTTAATCTTAAATTGCAATATTCTTTTCACTTTTTTGCTTCAACCATCGAGGATAATAAAATTGAGATGACTTTTGCTCATAAAGAGCTATTATTATATCAAATTTATATTTACGGTTACTCTAAAAAATTCTTATACTTGTAATTATGCGATCTGTTTTCTAAACGGGCAATTATGTTGCTATCGACTAAGATATAGCTGTAATGGGAGATCTTCTCTTTCGTAGTTCATTGCAAAATGACACTATTAAATTATAGTCAAGATCAAAACTTACAATTTTTTCAATGACCTAAATCTCTTGAGTGGTGAATTATAGAGCACAATTGATTGGGCAAGCACTATCAAACAAGGTATACATAAATTTATTTTTTTAAATAGACATCCAACCAAGATCTATAAAGTCCTTGTGGATGGCACAATCTATTGTTGTTTCAAGATTTTTTCTACTTATGTTGGATCAACTGCCTACACTGACTATGATAACCCAAGATGACGAATAAATGAGGTCTTTCTCAAGCTCATCATATCATTCTCTTTGTCGTCCGATTTAAGCTAAGGGTGTTAAATTCTCTTAACCTAAAACCAAAGTAGCTGATATAAGCCATATATTTAGCACGTATTGACTAGCTCTAAGCGCAAGTATTCTCTCATGATTGGGATAAATAGTTAATAATAGCGGGACTTAATACTTATAAGAAACGTTGAGCCCAATTATCAGGCACTCACATAATGAGTGTGAAATATTTAGGTAATGCCTTTTTTACAATCGTATTTTTCTCGAAACTATTTTACTTGGAACATCAACTCCTAGAGAGATGGCTATGAATTTACCACAACAACCATTCTGATGTAATTGAATTGGAAATGAAATTTTTGTTAATTTGAAAATTACTTGAGAAATAAGATCATTGATTATTTTGAGATCATTATGCTTGACCCATTTAAGCCAACTAATTAAGGCTTTTAGAAGTTTTGGTTTATTAGCTGACCCAACCCACATGATGGCTCTAAGACATGCTCTTCCTTATATAAAGAGGTTATACAGGATTGATGTTGTCGTTTTCCTCTAAGGGAATACCAATGAGATTAATATTAACTAGGCATTTCTATTTTGATCAAAGGGAAATGCAATGCTCATCTTTGAATTAGGATGGTCTGAATACTTCATCCGTAGATGAGGATGCTGATTCGTAGTATCTCTTGTGCACTCAAATGGGTCTAATATTTGACTTATTTACTATTATTTATTTCATTTTATTTTATTTTTCCACACCGAAGTTTGCAAGATGAGATTTATTATGGCATGGCTGGGGATCAAAATCAAGACGTATTAAAAACTTTCATTTATCAAGTGAACTAGCTGGCACCTAATGAATCTACTTAAGAGTTGCTTATTGTGTGGCTGAATTTTTATCTTCTTGTTTTTCTTTATCTAATGTGCATAGGTGAAGCAAAAGGCATTTAACCAATGTGATTGGTTTATTTCAGAATTGCTAGCCCAATGTGGTTGGGTTAGCCCAGAGTAGTCAAACCAGGATTTTAGTTATCATAGAGTAGCATTGCCATTGCTTGCCTTGCCTAATTTTGTGGAGAGCCTATTTGATCTATTTGTTCCCTTTAATGCTTCAAAACATCTACACCCATTGCAGCTCCTAGAAAACAGCTGGCACAGTTGTGTTTTGATTGGTAGTTACTCGGTTTCTTGTTGTGTGATATTACTTGATGGATGCTACTTGATAATGTGGTTTGGTGCTTTCATAAAGGTTTCAATTTGGATTCTTCGTTAACAAAATATGATAAAAAACTAGAGGCATTGTTTTGGAATTTGTTTTTGTATGCATTTTATTGCCTATTATTTATAGCATCGCTGAATACTTCTTTCATGTAATTTTATTTTGTGTACAATAAAGAATTAGAAGTTTTCTAATATGCAATGAAACTTTGACAGCAAAGAAAGATTTTTCTTCAAAAATTCAATGTTTGAAGCTAGAGATAATGTATTTTATTAGTTAAAATGACAAGTTTGCTTGAAGTAGAGATGGGTTTTTCTTTGAGATATATTAACATTTTTTGTATAAACTAAATATAGTGCAGCAAAACCTTGCTTGGGTACATCGTTTAATTTAATTTGTTCTGCTTATGTTTGAATGAGAACTTACTGCCACTTTAGCTGTTCCGATTTAGTCCTGTCGTTCCTTATTACTGCCTTGATATTTTATTTGGACTATGAAGAAGTTTTTTTTGCCAAACTACTACAATTTTTATTGCATTTTAGAAGATAATTCTACAAATTAACCATTTACTTTAATCAATAACACAATTTAACTATGCCAAATGAAATTTTATTGCTTATTTGAAGCTATAGTCCAAAACTAAGAGAACTAGCTTAAGTCACTTTCTCAGATTTTATTGAATATTTTCATGATTCAAAAAATTTATTTACATGCTTAAGTCTTAATTATCTAAATTACACTTTAATTTGACTGTTATATTGTTAAATCAATACTTAATGTAAAATACTATTTTACAAACTGATATTTTGATAGAATTGATTTTTTGTACCTTGCCAATAAGTTTGCCCTGCGAGCCTTACGGAATAACTTGCCATGAGAATAAAGAAAGTTTTTCGATGTCATTTTTCATTCTCATTATTTATCTAATAATCACATTTTAATCAGCATTGGATTCTATTTTTTCAGGGTTTTAATTCTTCTTCCATGTCATTCTCCTGATTCTTTTTGTGTCAATTTGTTACCCCGCTGTTATTGTTAAATTAATACTTAATGTAAGTTATAATTTGACAACTGATATTTTGATAGAATTGATTTTTCGTAGCTTGCCAATAAGTTTATCCGCTGAGCCTTATGGAATAACTTGTCATGAGAATAAAGAAAGTTTTTTTATATTATCAGTCATTCTTATTATTTATCTAATAATCACAATTTTAATCAGCATTGGATTCTATATTTTCAGGGTTTTAATTCTTCTTACATGTCATTCTCCTGATTCTTTTTGTGTGAATTTGGTATATATTATCCGTGGAGGTGATCCTTATTCTCTTTGAAAAATTTTTGAGCTCTTTCCTTTTTTTTTTCTAGAAGCTTTTGTGGTTTAATTTTTATTTTCTAGTAGTCTTTTTTTGATTGCATGAACTTCTGTTGAGCTTTCTAAAAGGCCGTTTAGGCTTTCCAGCAATTGGTCATTTCTGTCCCGTACTTCTAAGATAGCACTGAAATTTTTGCGTCAGGTTGACATACGTGTACAAAAATTCATTTTCTGTACATGATTCTATTTGAGGTCCAGCCCAAGTAGATGTGAAAGAACTTAAAAAGTTTGATAAGAACATTAATATTTTTTGAGAGCTTACAATTACTTTCTGGCACCATCTTATGTTCCTTTCAAATGATATTATACATCACGTTTCTTGGAATATTGTCTGCCAAAATGCATGAACTTGTTGGATTTTCTTCTGTAACCTGTAATTAGTGTTTCGAAAATGTTTTAAATTGGAGTTGGGGACTTCTATGAGTAAGTGCTAAACTTGCAGTTAAACCAGTCCGATGGGTTTGATACCCATTTGACATGATCCTCAATATTGCATCTCGTTTGGTTTCAAAGACTTCTCATTCATGTGATTTATTGTGATTAAAGATCTTGAGTTTCTATTAGCCTTTCAGAGAATTCTCTTTTGTAGTCATATTGTTCAAGGAAAATATGATGTGATGACTTTCTTAGTTCCATGGTTTACGATTGCTCTAATTTTGCTTGATTTGCAGATTAAGTGGAGACATGAACTGAAGGAGAGGGAAGAAGCCCTTTCAGCCCTTGAAGTGGAACGCAGAGTGAGGGAAGCCGCTGAAGCTAACTGCAAGAGAAGGCAGGATGGATTGCGCCAAAAGATTGAAATTGATTTTCAGAGATATAAGGACGACATTCGTAGATTAGAGGAGGAGCTCTCCAGGCATCGGGAAGTAGCTGCAGCTGCCCGGCTGATTCAAGCAGTAGATTCAGACGCACCAAAAGTTTTTGTGGAATCCTATCCCAAGATTTATCTTCCTGTGCCACAAGAATCGTCCCATAAAAGCAACCACAGGTTATGCTGGCTCTGTAGGGACGATGAAGTCTCAGTCGTTTTCTTACCATGCGCTCATCAGGTTTTATGTTACGGCTGCAATGACGCCTCTAGCGGTGAATGTCTAGCCTGCAAGAAACACATAGAGGAAAGGATCCATGTTTATGGTGCCAAATCTTAGGATTTTTTTTTTTTTTTTTTAAATATCTTTGTTGAGTTTCAGCTGCAAGGTCTTCTACATAGAATTTAAATTATATCAAATGAATGATGGGATAAAACTTAATTTTTGCTTTTCTAATACTATAGATCCTTCTACATTTTATTAAGTCCCTCGTCCATCATTTAATCTGCAAAAATGCGAACGTATTCGCAGTATACCTTTTGCTTTCTGGCTATGCCTAACAAGTACAGCAATGCTTGTGCGTTTGTGTGCTTGTGCCCTTTTTGGCAGATGAAACTACTGCTAAAATACTATTTGAAAGTGTGAAATTCCTTTGCTTCCGTCGTTGTCTCATATTTAGTTACAGGATCATTTACAATGTACTCCAAAAAGGTATGCTTGGCATTCCTTGATTATTATTATTACTATTTTAATTTTATGCCTGGAAATTTGAATAATGGCTATGATGCAACGCTGTTTGTTGAACTTAGATTTGTCTTGGAATCACATTCAAAGAGTAGGATGAACACAATGAAATTAAATGATAAATTTTATGGAGAAATTCTTAGAATTTTGATGAAGATTTCTAAATACAATCTATAGAAAAAGGTCATTCTTTTTGGTGTGCAGTACCTTCTATTTATAGGAGTTCAACCCTCCCTCTCGTGGGGGAACCATTATATTTCAAATAAAAGAAAATTCCGCTAAAAGTTCCCCGGTGGGATCATCTACAATTGTTACTTCAACTAATAATTTTTGGTCAACATAAAATGTTTCTTTGCTCCCATTTTGCTTAAGTCGCCCGACCCCGACTATGATTTGCCTGATAATAAGTACTAGTTTTGTACTGGTTTTGTCAGCTAGTTGTTGGACATTCATTTTGGGTTAGTCAATTCTTTCGGGTGTCTTGATTTGTCGGCTAGTTTTATATTATAGTTTTGAATCAATCGCTTGCGATTGGGGCGTGGTCACTTGACTATGGAGTTCATTTCCCTCCAGTTTAGTCACCCTCTCCTTGTTGATTTTTGGTTTGCTTGCCTTTCAATGTTTTCTCAACTCTTGATGGAAAGTCGATCAACTCAATTTGGTCGACTAATGTTGTTGTTTGGCCGTAACTGATCATGTTGGTTTGGGGCTGCTTTTGTCTTTGTTGTAGTTGACTCGATCAGGCATGTTTGTTTCATGATACAATACATGTTTAGTATTTGAATCTCTTTTTTCTTCTATTTGGAATTGTAAGTAGAATAAGATAATAATAATTGATAATCATGTTTTACCGTGATTCACAGCTTAGTAAGAGAATTTTAGAAATCAATGCTTCCTGTTATAAGTGGTGTGTATTGTCATGCTCTCTATCTACAAAATTTTTATTTTTTGTCTGTCTTGTGCTTGTTGTGATATTTTTGTCCTTTCAATCATTCCACATTGAGGGAGTTAATTCAAGTGAATCTAATAAAAAATAGAGGTAGGAGGTCTAGAGTTTCTTGAAGCTGACATTGTACTTTCCCTTCCTGCGCCTAGACTTGACATTGATGGATTGACGTTGAGAGGTAGCACAACTAGTTTTGTGAATGTTTTGATGATATTAGATCTAATATTGTTCTTGTTTTTGAAAGGGAGCCATCTAGCAATGAGTTTTAATGATATACTTTCAGACTTGTAGAACGAGGGAACTACTGAGGAGACTTATATTATTTGCTCATTGTGTGACCCTTTTAGATGGTGTTGTGGATTTGCTATTTGATCCGACTATCCTTCGCAGATCGCTTGAAATAGAGTAGTTCTCTCCTTGTGCCAAAAGCTAAAGTCTGGTGGTGTCTCAGAGCGGGTTGAAGTCAAGCTGTCAGACCGATAAGATACAATTATAGACCCAGAGGAGGGCATTGTGGACTTGAAAGAGCTATCATGGAGAGAAAGTAGAGGCCGACTTGGAGGCTTCTCTTGGAACATGTCAAAACTAGGACGAAGTGAAGACTATGTTACTTCACCTTCAATAACAATTGGAGTATCCTTGTGATGAACCATTCATTTATGGTGAAAAATTTCTCTTAAGGAGGCTTCTGCTGGTCGGCTATGTTTTTGTAGTTGCTGTTAGAGACAATCATCTTGACCTTTTTTTTATGATTCTTAATTATGTATGCGTCGAAGCCTCTTTGGTATGATGTCACGGTTGTCTTTGTGTTTTGGAAAAATATTTTCATTTGTAATGATCAAGATTGATTTAGTATTGGATGTGGATATTTTATTTTTTTGATTTTATGTCAGCCACCATGTTTTTCTTTTAAGAGCCTTTACAAATAAATCTTGTTGATAAGGGTGAGATTTTCATTGGCCGTGAGTATGCCACGAGTGTCTTTCTTTGAATCTTATAGGGATGTAACCGTGAGAGAGTTATCTGGATTAATAATTACCTCTAGATCAATCATAAACATTTTAATGTTAAAAGCTTTAAATACTCTAGAGCTCTAAGCCTCACACTCCAATAAATAGTTTGATAAAATCTCATCTAATTTTTGTAAAACTTTTAAGTCACTCCTAGAACTCATTACTCCTGCAAGGGTTTTATAGATGGAGAAACTCACACTGATTCATGTTAAGGACTCAACCAAGGTCAACCTTTCCACCCTATTAAGCAAGCATCCTCAAGGTAGCATGCTAAAGTGAAACTAAAAGCTACCAGGATCTTCAAGACTCCTCCTATAGAGTCTCATAAGGTGTCATTCAAACACATGATCATGTCGTTTGTTGACTGACCATCAGGAATCTTGTGTTTCCTCATGGGAGGTCTCTTGAGCAACTAATGTGTTAATCACTAATGTTGTAAGGGGAGGACAAGTCAACCTCAAGTTTTGTGGTCTTGTCATTGTTTTGAAGGAAGCACGACCACCGAGTGAGCTGAACCCCCTAGTGTTGCACCTCAATTCATTGTCCCAACCCAACGACTTCAGTATTTGGAACTAAAAGTGAGCATTGCATGATTTTTGATGTATTCAATCAGATGGGAATATTGGGTATGAATGATGCTTGTCCTTGACAAGAATTGGTTATTTGTTGAATGTTGTCACATACTCTTATCTCCTTAGGTTTTGACAAGGATGGTTCTGCTTCCCTAAACATGAAAGAGATCTCAGTCATGCTTGAGCGGCGAAGAGCACGTGAATGAAGTGTTCACATCCTTTGGGCTTGAAATCAGAAGTGACTGATCATGTGCTAAGATAGCCATCCTAGCGGTTGATGTGCGAGATTATCAATCTCTGACGATTCATGAGGCGAAGTGCTTTCGACTGACAACCAGCTTGAAGTGTGGATGACATGAATTTTGATGTGATTGTTGGCATTGATACACCCAAAATATATGCATTTTTAGACCCATATTTTATACCCATTTTTGGTGATATTGCACTTTAATGGAAGGTATTTTTTATGTTTTTTCGCAGATTGTTAATTTTTGGGACTTGAAGCAAAAATGATAGAATTTGGAGCAAAAATGGAGATTTGGAAAATTACTCAGCACCTAAAGCTCCAGAAGGACGTCAGATGGCACAAACCTATAGAAGAAGAGTCAGCGCCGACGACGCCATTTGACAGAGACTTGGGAATTAATTAGCGGAGCACTGGCGCCGACAGCGCCAGGATGGGCGCCGACGACGCTTATGTCGGTGGAACCCTGTTTCTAGAAGATTTGATGAATTTGGGCGCTTTGTGAAGAATTGTTGAATGCATCTATTGGAGAACTGACCTAGGCTCTATTTAGGGCCAAAATTTGATCAAAAACCCCCCTCACACCATTTCATATTCTTCCACTCAATCAATTTTCATCTTCACACGCCTATATTCCACAACATTAGTTAGTTATTGTTCCTATATTTTTGAGTTTTTTGGTAAGTTTAAGTGTGAATTCTTCTCTAAGAAGTGTTGGAGAGGAAGAGAAGTGAAATATTTCTTCTTCCTACATTTCCTAAGAGTGGCTACAAGGGATTTGCTTTGAGAAAGAGTTTTAGATAAGTGTTGTTTGTTTATTGTTATTGTAAGAACTTTCTCTTTCTTTTATATATGAAATTTGCTTTTATATATGAAATTTGTGTTTTGTTATATATTTCTCATGAAGTCTGACTAGTTTCTTTTATCTTTCTCCTTACTTTGAGATATGGTAAAATGAAGATATAATTTGGATGTGCCAAAGTTAAAATGCCAAAGTTAAAATTTAAAATATTCAACTCCGCTCTTAATTTACTTTTCAATCTGGCCATTTGAATTGTTAAAATATGTTATGAAACATATGATCCGGTAAAATATGTTATGAAACATATGAATATGATCCGGGAAATGGAGTATGAGTTCTACAACAGAGTGAGAATCACATTTAAGTCCATGAAGGAGTATTTCGTTTATAGAATTAAGTGCAAATAAATAGAGAAATATACTTTGTTGGGTGTAGAATTGGAGATTTCTAGGGTGACAGACTAAAATCCCCAATTTGATTTAAGTGTTTAAAAACTAAAGTGAGAATAAGCCTTCAGGGGAAGGAAAGTGGGAGCTCTAAAGTGGGAGTCAGTATCCTCTTAGCTTAGCCACAAATTTAGGTAATGATTAGCCACTGACTAAACATAAGACTAATCAATGATTTTCTATAATACTGAATCAAGGTAGAGAATTAAAATTGCTTCTATTTGAGACAATACATATTTAAACCATTTATCTCATCTCATTTCACCAAAAACTCATTGTAGTGGGAATGATGCTTTTTCATATTAGAAAATTTCATAACATAAATATAGTTTAGTAGTTATTAATTTTAAAACCTGCTTTTAAGTTCTGCTAGTAGTAAATAATTTAGCTTTAATAGTATTTTAAACATTCAAAATTAGTGACAATAATTTTGTTTGATTTTTGTGAATTTCTTAGTTAGGTTATCATTTTAAATTTAAATCTTCCCCGTGGGATCGATATTTGAGACTTAAACAAAAAATTTTATATTACTTAATAACGATACGTATACTTGAATAGAATCCCAATCTTAAGAGTTTAACATTATTATTACTAAAATACCACATTAAATTTTTGACATCGTTATAAAGCGGAGTCAACTTTATAAATTTTATATAACTATATTCAACCGTGATCAAGTTTTTGGCGCCATTGTCGGGGAAGGTAAAGG